GGGGGACGTCCAGGATGGAATGACATTGGTCGGACTCTGCCTGGGAAGCCCAAGGTTTTCTGAGGACAGACTGGACACGGTCACCCTGGCTGCCAGCCTGAGCTCTGAGGTGGGGTGAACCCGAGTTAGCCCAGCTGGGGAGAACTACAAGGACAAGGGGGCTGTGGGGTGGGGTTGGGCTGCTGGAGGCCCTGGAGCACTGCCCTGGAGCTTTCCCTAATGGGCCAGGATTTGCATTCACCGTGGTTTCCCAACCAGTTTCTCGGCTCCTGGAACCAGGAAAGGCAGAGGAGGAACGGGCCCCCAGCAGCCACTGCTAGTCCTACTGGGTCCAGCACCCGCCCGAGGGGCTTGCCCTTCTGTTGGGAGCCACATCCTGGCCCGGCCTCCCTCTCCCGTCTGCACACCAGCCTGGGATGACATCTTGTTCAATCCAGAGGCAAGGGTCCTGGTCTGCATGGTTTACAGGTGGGGGGCGCTGAGCTGAGGCCACCTGCCCATGCTGCCCTAGTGGGTAGAGCATAGGTGGCAGGGTGAACTTTCAAGTGAAAGCCCAAGTCATGGGAGAGAAATGGCCGGGCGGTTAGGCCTGGCAGCCTTCTAGTGGCTCTGCCTGAAAGCCAGACTGAGAAAGCGGCATGAGGACAGGTTCCAAGTCCTGGACGGCTAGTCTGCCCGGAAATCACCGGATGTTGGCTTGGGTCCAGTGGGGCTGAACTGACTATCCCAAGCCCAGCCGGGCTGCCACAGGGACTCTACCTAGCCCTGTCAGCACCTGCCAGCAGATCAGCCAGGCTGACAGCGTCCAGGTGTGCACCACAGCCAGCCTGCAGTCCCCATACGGAAGTGGCAGCAGCAGCAAACGATCCAGAGCAGAGCTAGTAGGGTCAAGGGGCTAGTGTGCACCCATCTGGCCATCTGGTGGCAGGATGAGAAGAGGGGTGAGAGAACTTCCTAATTCTCAATACGCACAAGGCTGTTGGCTCCCTAACTTCACCAGTGTCAGGCCCCTCTGCTGGCTGGATAGCAGGGGAGGGCTGGCATTCCAGCTACTGTGCTGGAGGGATGCCTAGGTGAATGTGCTGCCAACCTAAGAGGCCTGTGAAGGGTGGATGGGGGCAGTCCACCTTCCCATCCCTGTAGGGGCCTCAGACTAGTGTCTCCCCTCCTCGTGGCCCTGTCCAGTCTGCCTCTTCAGTGGGAACTTGGGCAAGTCACTTAGTACTGCCAGGTAGCTAAGCTGTGTGCCAGGGCGGGGTCCCACCTTCCACACGTGACCACATATCCTGCTTCTAGTTACCCCTTCACTGAATTAGGGACCATGCTCCCTGCCTCCTCTAGTGTCCCCACAGCCCTGGCCATCCCTGCCCTAGCACTGACTTTCCTGGTCTGCGGGCCAAGAGCTGAGTGCCCACGGCCTCCCCCACACATTCCACCTGGTCTGTGTCACAGCTCCTGCAAGCCATCTTCTCTCTGCAGGTGGGCTTCCTACCCTCACAGGTGTGTGGTGCAGGAAAAGCAGCCCTCCCCCGGCTCCTGCCACAGGGCTTGGAGCCGGCTCACATAGCCCCTCCAGATGGTGCCCAGCCCTAGGCCTCTGCCCACCACAGCGAGGGGCAACCGCCACAGGCTCCAGGCTCCTCCTAGAGGTGGGCAGAGGGCAGTGCACCCCTGAGGGGCCCCCACCACCTAGACCAGCTCCACCCCCACACACAACAGAGACAGCCTACCTTGGACAGATTCACTTTATTGGTGTGTGCTGGGAGGAAAGGGCTTTTGCACTTCAGATACTTAAGGATGAACACCTGTACGCGTGCACACCTGAGTGCAGAGGGGAGGGGGCGGAAGGGCGGCGAGGACAGAGGCCCATCCCCCTGGACACAGGCAGCAGCGTGACAGAGAGGTGGGGTATTAAGAAGCATTTTGCTTACTAACATGAAGCCCCGTGTGCCCAGTGCGAGCGCGGACGAGGCCTCATTGGCTTAGAGGAGGGGCCCTTGCAGGGCAGGCACACAGTGCCCAACTAGCCGGCCAAGGCCAGCATCCCAGGGATGGGGTGGAGGTGGGGGCATGCACAGGGCCCTCGGCCCAGGCCTCTGCGCCCCTGCCTCCCTCCGAGCCCTGAGAAGAGGGTTTGGGCCTTAGCCATGGACCGACAGCTGTTACCAGCAGCGTCTCCTTAGACTACAGGGATACAATGTGCATCAACAGGGCGATCGCTCCTGACCCCCGGGCAGGCAGCTCGAGGTGCCCACAGGGCCAGAATCAATCCTACAGTATCTTTAGTATGTGGGTTCCCTTCCCGACAGAAGTCCTCCCCAGTCCAGCCACCAGGGTGGGCTTTGGGTTCCCTGTGGGCGCCGGCCGGCTTACCCACTGAGGTGCTGGGCCTTGTAGGAAACGATCTTGGCTGCCAGCTGCTGGGGGTCCAGGAGCTGCGGGAAGCGCCCCATCACCGCCTCCACCAGGTGCGGGGGAAAGACGCCGCACAGCTTGGTGTACACGCTGGCTCGCTCCTTGGCCAGGCCGCTGGGCCCGGCCCCGGCCCCACCCCCAGCCCACGGTCCCCCGTCAGCCCCTGGGCCCTGCACTCGGTGCTCCTGTCGGACTGGGGTGGGTGGAGGCAGTGGGTATGGCTCCGACCAGTACTCTCGAGCCGGGTAGGCAGGGGGTGGGGGGGTGTAGTCGGCGGGTACACTAAAGTGGCCAGCACCCACGGCCTGCCCGTAGGCAGGGAAGGCAGGAGTGGCCGGGAGCTCAGACCCATAGGGGCCATAACCCGGGTAGGGACACCGAGGGGGGCCCAGCTCCCCAGGACCCCCTCCACGAGCACCCCAGAGTTCTGACATCTGGCTCTCCAGGGAGCCGATACCAGAATCCAGGCGGTCCTGGGAAGTATAGGGCAGGGAGTCCAGGGTTTGGGGGAACCAGTCTGTGGGCCCAAAGCTGCCTCCACTGCCTCCGCTAGGGGGAAGGCTCGGGCCCACTGGGGGGAAGGTCTGCGTCAGGCCCTCCCGGTGGGGCCCTGGGGATGCCCCGGCCCCCAGCTTCTTCCTGTCTGGGCTGCACTGCTCGCCCTCGGCCGGTAGTGAGCTGGACTGAGGTGATGGCCGCTGGCCACTCTTGCCCTTGCCTGGGGCCCTTGGGGGTGAGGAGCGGGCGTTGGCGCGGAGCTCATCAGCCACGGAGCGCTGGGGGCAGCTCGGCCGCTCTGGGTGGAAGAATCGGCACTTGATCCCATAAGTGCATTTTCTCCCTGGAAGAGGAATTCCATGGGACTTGGAGCAGGGAGCTGGGACCCGGGACAGCAGAGGGAGGAGAGGGCACGGGAGATGGGGCTGGGTGGTCCAGGTGTGGTGGGGTTCAGGCAGAAAGGAGCGGGGTGGTGGAGGGCGAGGCTGGGTCTCACCATAGGGGCAGGGCTGCTTCTTCTGCTCAGAACAGAGAGGCTTCTTACGCAGGAAGTTGTCCAAGCTGGGCCCGTGCCTGCCCAGGGGGTCGTCAGGGGGCATAAACCTGCAGAGGGAGAAGGTGCTCAGCAGGTGGGGGGCAGGGCGGGGACTTGTGACTGCTGAGGTGGGTCTTGCCCGGATGAACAGAGCAGCTTCTGAAACTGGCCCCTCACAGCAGGACACCCCCCACCCCCACTCCCCTGTCCAGGGACTCTGAGCTCTCAGTGGGGTTACCCCAGGTAGTGAGGTGCCTTTCTCATGCTGCGAATTCCAAAGCCGAGCCAGCAGCCGTAGTAGCTGACCCCAGACCTTGTGTCCACCCCACTGACCTCTGGTCCAGAAACCCAGAGCTGGGAGTGAGGGAGGCCGTCCTGGAACCACCGACCTCATCCTGGTCCCCTGTATGCTCGTGGAGGTCAGCCTCACTCTTAGATTTAAGGTCACTGCCCCCCACCCCCGCCCCCACCCCCGGTCACGTGAGGGGCACGTACTTGTCGTTGACGAAGGAGTACATGAGCAGTCGCTCCTCGATGAAGCGCCTCCACTCCTGCCGCTCGCCCTGGAGGTCTCGGTAGGTGTCGTTGGACACCACGACACCGTCCGACTCATAGGCTAGCTTCACGATGAAGCGGTCGTCGTAGCACACCACCCGCCTGCCCCCCACACGCCGCGACGGCGTGAACACCAGGACCTTCTTCTTCTCCAGCTCCCGCAGGATGTACTGGTCTGCAGGGGAGGGGAGGGGAGGGGAGGGGACAGGCCAGGCCAGGTCAGGTCAGCCCAGAGCTAGGCTTGCAGAGTCCACTGGGGCCAAGGCTGCATCCAGTGGCGCGAAGGAGGGAGTGACCACTGAATGAGGAACACCTGTGAGCAGGCTGCCCTCCTGCTCAGACAGGGCCCCCGGGGCACAGCTGGGACCACCTCTCTCCCCCCTGGCCCTGTGTCAATCCAGGCTATGTGTCCCCCAGCCTCATCGGAGGGTGCCCCGGTCTGAGCAGGGCAGAAGAGGGCCCTCTCTTCCCCTGGAAGGGGATTCTAGGCCCCATTGAAAAAAGCACTTTCCCAGCCAGCTCCGAGTCTTAACCCCAAAGGCTGGGGCTTCTGTGATAAGAACCCTGCTAAGCACCAGCACTGAGCACATGCTGTGTGCCAGGCTCCACTATGCACACAGGCTATCCAAGGGACCCTCGGCCCTGCCAGGCACCCCCCACGCATTCTAGGAATGGGAAGCAAGTGAGTGGCTGAGGGCCGGGAGCCCTGACCCTCTGTGCAGAGTCACAGAGCCAGGAGTCGAGTCAAGCCCCAGCCCCAGCCCCAGCCCTGAGCCCACAGGAACAGCCACTTAGATGGGCTCTGGGCATGGGGATGTGGGGATGCTGAGGGAGCAGCCCACAAGGAGGGGGAGGGCACTGACTACTGGTTGCATAAGGTGCCCTGAGTGACTGCTGAGGACAGGCCTAGCTGGAGAAGGAATTCGGGTCCCTGTGTAAGGTCCAGCAGTGGCTCGCACTGGGGGCAGCAGTGGGGCACTTACCGGTGATGGGCACGTCGGGCCGGGGCTGTTCCTTCCTCCAGGAGGGCACAAACACAGTGATGTCGGTGTGGCCCCGCTCCAGGAACCAGTTCACGGCCAGCAGGATCCCTCGGCAAGAGAAGACCTCCTTGTTCCCATGGCTGGGGGCACAGGAGTACAAGGGTCAGCTCCCAGGGGCTATCAGCCTGCCATCCCCCTGGGGGCTTTGCTGGCTGGCTGTGGAGCCCCCCTGGCCCGGTTCCCATGGAGCCTGGGAAGGCCAGGCCAGGGACTTTCCCTGAAAGTGAGGAAACACCCAAGGAATCTGGCAGCACCAGCTCCCCACGGTGGGGGAGGGCCAGGCAGCTTGCAACACACCTGGGGGTGGGGGAAGGTGCTGCTAGAGACTTCTGGTTCCCGCCCCACCCGGGAGCTGCTGGGACCATGGGACACCAAAGGCAACTGAGTCACCACCCTGCCCAGCTGGCTGCCAGTGCTTGGGGTCGGGGTGGGGATGGGGATGGGCAGGGTGGAAGGGAGGAGCAGGAAGTGACAGAGGGCAGACCTCCTTTGGGACCTCTCAACTTGAAAGTGAAAGGGTGCCCAGCTTTCCCTCCTAGGCCCGGCCACCAGTTCCCCCCAAAGAAAGGCACTAAGGGACCCTGCTAAAGGCCGTGTGGGACATCCTCCCTGCCTCGGTCTGGCTGGCTGGAGGCGAAAGCCTGAGGGGGGCCTGGGCGGCTTTGGCTCTCAGTCTCTTCTCTTGTCAAATGGGCCCAGTAGTCTGTAGCTTCTTCAGGAGCAGCTCGGGTGGGGGTGGGGGTGGGGGTGTTAGGAGTCCGGGACGGCTTGGCTGTGGTTCACAGCTGTGTCAGTGGGAGACCTTCCTGGTGACTTGAATTGAATGACACTGTTCGACCAAAGAGAGGTTCCAGCCAGGATTTCCTGGGAGTTGGGGTGGGGGGGGGGCTTGGAGTTCCTAGGAAACACTAGGTGGCAAGGAAGGGCCTTTGGGACAGGCTTGGTTGCCCATCCCCCTCCAGCAGCCCAACCCGCTCACTGCCCCCTCAGTGCACAGTGCAGGCACTCCTGTTTGGCAAATACAACAGAAGCAATGTTACGCAAAAAAGGCAAGTCTGGGGGGAGACCACATCCTGTGGGTGGCTTTGGGGGGTAAGGGCTGGAGTGTTGAGAGTACAAAGGCAGGCGGGGCGGCTGGGGAACCATGTAGACTATTTGGGGGTGACTGGGGCTGCAGGTCTCTGTAAACTGAGAGAGGCCAAGTCCAACCACCAGAGAGGACTTCTTGCCCGGTCTCCTGCTTAAAAGATCCCCGAAGCCAGGTCCCGCTCAGGCTAGCGGCTAGCGGCAGCACAACTCTTCTTCAACAAACTACGAGGAGGGCACTATCACTGTTAACCCCTTCCTCGTCCTCCCCCACCCCTATTCTTTGGAGGTTACAAAACTAGAAAGTAGAGTCTATTAAGACAATAGACCCTAAGCTCTCAAAAACTCACTGCCATTGAGTGGATGCCAACTCACAGCAACCCTCTCCAGGACAGGGTGGAATGGCCCTGTGGGTGTCCGAGGTTGTAACTCTTTACCCGAGGAAGAAGCCTTGGCTTTCTGGGTCTTATGCTGTTCGGTCAACTCCTTTGCTCGGAGGACACTGTGGTCCAGAGAGGGCGACTGAGCTCCCATGGTCATACAGCAGTCATGGTCAAGTGAAGTCCATCTCACCTCAGGGTGACGCTACAGGGCCGAGCACCCCTGCCCCTTACTTTCCAGACGGCCACACCTTTCCTCCGGGCAGTAGCTGGCTGGCTGGCTGCAGATTCAGAGGGAGGGGCCGGCTGGGGGCAGGAAAAGTCCTGCACCTGGCAAACTCCTACTCTACCTTTAGGGTCCCCATAGGCCCACCCTCCGAGAAGTCATCCCTGACCTTTGGGGAAGGGTCAGGGCCCTGGTTTGTGTCTCCACAGTGCCCTGGGCTTCTCTCCGTACCTTCTGTCGGGGTTCCCCTGAGCTCATGAGGGTACGGCCATCGATGTGGCTCCCCTCCAAGGGGTGCAGCCTGCACTGCCTGGATTAGCAGGCCAGCATCCTGCTTCTAGACACCAGAAACCTGCCCTCCACAGCCCTTGCCCCAGAACAGCACCTGGGCAGGTCGAGAGTCCTCCTTTGGGTGGAAGTAGGACACATGTTCTAGTCCCTTGAATGGAGGTCAGGCACTGCCTTCTCAGCCCCGGAGGGTCTTCCTACAACTAGCCTGAGCCCCCCAACCTCCCTCCCCTTCCCCAGAGGATCAGGGCCCAGGTTTGCATTAAGAGGTGAGTGGAGCTTAGAATGGAGCCTTAGCTGGGACTGCGAGCCTGTCTATCCCGGGGCAAGGGGCAGGGCAGGGCCAGCTCTCTAGGTGAGAAGATCAGGGTGGGCCGAGGTGGAGAAAAATTCCCTTAGAAGGAAACAGAGGTGAATTTCCCCACGATTTGCATACGGTGGGGGCTGGCCTGCCTGCTCTTGTGGGGAGGGAGGAGGCGGTCAGGCAGGAACCTGATAGAAGCAGAGAGACAGGAAGTCTGAGGCTGGAATTCCCCTCCTGCCCTGGTCTGGCCAGAGGCTCAGCCTTGTGGGTGCCAGCTCCCCTGGCCCCTCCTCCCTCCCAGGCCCCTCCTCCTTCAGCTTGGACACAAACACACAGCACATGGCCGGGGCCAAGGTCTCCCCTCATCTCACCAGCCCCCACACCCCCTTACCCTCAGGGAAGGAGGGCTGTAGGCATCGGGCTCCTGACCCCACCACTCCATGCTGGGCGCTAACATACAATGCACGGGCTGTGACCAGCTGCTCCTGAGCGATGTTTTGCTCAACCTCCCAAGGGCTCCATTTCAGGCACGGGGAGACCGACTGGCAGCAGCAGCAGAGGGCTGCAGGCATGAGTGCCAACCTGGGGCCAGGAGCAGCCAGAAAGCCAGTTTGTCCAGCTAGGCCAGGAGAGGGAGGGTTGGACAACAGGGTCGGTCAGCTGAAGCAATCCCTGGGGTCTCCCAGTTCACCCAGCAGGAATTTCCCATGGGCTCCACACAGCCTCACTCACCAGCCCCGGAGGGCACTGGGAGAAAGCAGAGCTGGAGGGTGGGCTGCCTGGGGCCAGCAGCCTCTCCTGCTGCCCAGCCCTACTCTCTGGAAGGAGACTTGGGAGGGTTGGGCCCAGTTCTGGAGCTCTGGGAAGACTTGTAGAGCAGAGTGTTGCCCATTGGCTCCATCTGAATCAGAGGGACCGAGTCACAGCTCACCTGGAGCCAGAGCATTCCCTAGTGACAGAGCCAGTCTGCCAGCCAGCCTCAAGGTCACTCCTGGTCCCAGCCACCAAGGCTGTAGCAGCTGGGCACCCAGGTCAGGGTCCAGCCTCATAAGTGCCAGCCTCTTAATAATAGCGACTGTTTACTGAGCACGCACTACTCACCAGGCTGTTAGTATTAGCTTACAGATGCGGAAATAAGGCTCAGGAAGGTTAATTGACTGGCTTATAGTCACACAGTACTTACCCTAATGGTTTGGGATTCAAACCCAAGCAGTTGACTGATGGTGCCTAGGCTAACCCACTGCACTGCCTCCTATCACAGGAGAGGGATGGGCAGTGGGAATGGTGGCACCCAGGAAGCAACCCACAGCAGGTGGAATCAGACAGACCTGAGTTCGAATCCTCACTCCACCACCCTACAACAGTGTGACCATGGGCAAGCCTTTGAGCCTGTGCCCACATCCTCTCACATCTACCTCAAGAAGCTGGGAGTGTTAAGGGAGCCAAGGGACCTGGTGGTACTGTGGGTTAAGACTGGTAATCAATCACTGGTGAGTTCATACCCACCAGCCGCTCCTTGGGAGAAAGACGAGGCTGCCTGCTTCTTTAAAGACTTACAGCCTTAGAAACCCTATATAAGGTCACTCTGAGTTGGAAATGACCTGATGGGACTGGGTTTTAATTGAAGTGAAAGTTCCTCAATGAGGAACTTTCTGTGCTCTTAGATCAATCTGTGGGAAGCTTCCAGAGCCCGAGACATGGCCACCCCCACCCCAGCCTCTAGTCTTGGCTACAGAAAGGACACGTACCTCATGGCCACATTGCTGCCATCAATGACCACTGGTCTCAGGTCACTGCCCTCCTTGTCCTCCTCAGGGGGTGGAGCCTCCTGGGTGAGAGTCTTGGGGGTGCCCCCGCCCCGGGGGACCAGGGGCAGCTGAGGGCAGGGGTCCGGTGAGGCCTGGCGCTCACGTTCAGCAGCTGACCCATGCTTCACCAGCTCGCCCAGCACGGTGTTGGTGTCCGCCTGGACTCCCAGCTTCTGCAGGACGCTGTGGATCTCAGCAGAGGAGTAGCCCAGCTTCCGGAAGAAGTCCACTTTCATTTGCAGCTCCGCAGCCGCCGAGGCCTCCTCTGTGGCAGGTTCCTGGGCCGGCTCACCGTTGCCTGCCCAGCTCTGGCTGACCCCGGGCTCCCACACACTCATGGCAGGGCTGGCTGCCGGAATGGGGCTCTCTCCGCAGGGGGCACTCATAGATCAGATTCCTCGAAGGCACCTGCCACAGCTCCTGCGAGGAACATACAAGGGTCAGGGGCAGGGCTGGGGTGTGGGGGTCACGCTGCCTCGGCTGCACCCAACACCATCATGCCACACGCACCTGTGGCACCGCACAGGGCCCTCCCGCCCCGGGGAGGGCGCACCCTCCCGCATCAGGGAGGGAAGGGACCCCAGGCAGAGGCGTCAAGCCCTGGTTAGGGGTCTCAGCGCTTGGCCGGTGGCTCCGGGGTTTCAGCTCCGTCGGTCTGAGTCCGCCTCCTACCCCACTCCAACCCTGGGAACCCCCAAAGGGCAGGGAGGCCGCGGTGGAGT